GTAGGATCAACACCCCTGAGTCAGCCTGAAGAAGTTACAGAAGATGAATCTTCGCCCATCAACCCCTTTTTTTAGAACAAGGGACCAGAGTAATAAAAAAGTGACAAAATAGACAAAAGAAAAAGACATGTAAAATAGTAGTACAGGCCTGAGCCCCCTATATCTGCCTAGAAAATCAGCCTTATTAAAAGAACTATCTAGTTTAAAAAGTTGTCATCTTGGTAAGTTGTCCTGGGTTATTGTCTAAATAGACTTAAAAACTAGTGGGGCCACAGCATGCCAAGCCTATGTATTACTTGTATCCTTAACCAGTCTGTGTAGAAATTTACAGCCCAGCATGAGGTGTGACAGTCCCTTGGAGCCACTGAGAGATGCTGCTGCTGCTGCTGCTACAGCCTGACAGTCACCTGGAGAAAATCTACATCGTTACCCTGACCACCTCCACCGTGGAAAAAGTTGACTAAACTCCTGCCTGATTCCATCTTTTGGATGGCTTCGCTTTGTTCATGTTACCACATACCTACTCTAATTATATTATGGCTACTCCTATTGCCGGGGAGACTAGCAAACATTGTATTGCACATTCCCTACACTGCTTTGCCACTATGGGACTTCCTAAACATAGTAAAACTGATAATGGTCTGGGATATGTCAGACAAGCATTTCAAACTTTTTGTAAATCTTACCAGATTTTTCACTCTACAGGTATTCCCTATATTCCTCAAGGACAAGAAATTGTTAAACAAGCCAACGGGCTGTTAAAACACCAAATTTTTTAATTAAAAGGGGGGAATTATACCCCTTCTCTCCTGTTAATATTCTTCTCATGCTTTATTTGTACTAAATTTTTAAGTTTAGATTATAATGGCCTTTCCACAGCATAGCAGTTGGGGGGGGGGGAGAGCAAAGAGCTTTTGCCCAAGTTAAGTGGAAGGATCCTTTAACAGGTGATTGGCACAGGCCAATCCGGTTTTAACATGGGGTGGAGGATATGTTTGTGGTTTTTTGCAGGAAGAAAATAAATCCTGCTGGTTGCCTGAGCATTTCGTTAGGATTGTGGAGGCTCTTTCAGATGACACAAACGCTGACACATTGGGCTTACGTGCCGGATCCCCTGATTGTGCACCCTACAACTTGGGAGGGAGTTGAGTATTCATTCACGTCAATAGATCAGCTTACGTACAGCCCCCGATCCTTTCATCCAATATACAAAGATGGGAGATATCTCAACTTCAGACATTGGAACTCCTTTTTGCTTTACCACAAGCTCTAAAGACTCCTTTCCAGGCTGTATTATAATGCTGTCCATGACTCATAAAATTCGGATCCCAGAGAAAAAATCAAATCTACAATATGGAGATGACATCTTTGCCAACTGGGCACTTAGTTTATGCAAATTCTACTCCACCCTATAGGATACCCTGTTGCATTAATTCTTCACAAGTAGTAGAATCTACAGGAGAGCCTCATCCAATAAGGTGCAGGCATGTGCAGCCATTTGTTACCAATATTTCTGGAACTAATTCTCAATTAATGGACTGGTCTGGAGCTAATCTTACTAATAAGTACAATCTTGGACTGTGGTGGATGAATGGGCATCCTCAACATCATATTTGGACACTGGTGGCTGCACTCAACAACATAACCTGGCCCAATTCATCCCTTTTAAAAAATGTCATTATGTATGGACCATTTAATATCTCTGTAGGAGCTAATTATTTTAATGTCACCTGTTCTAATTGTTCTTTTACTAATTGCTTGTATAGCAGCATAACTGAATCCATACTTATTGTTAGACAACCATCTTTTGTTATGCTTCCTGTAAATCTTTCTGAAACTTGGTATGAAGATTCTAGTATTCTGGTGTTGAAACAATTGAAAGAACTAATGTGCCCTCGTCGATTTGTTGGGCTACTTGTAGCTGATGTTTTGGCCTTTATTTTGTTAGCTGCCTCTGCAGCGGCAGCTGCTGTGGCACTAACACAAAATGTTAAAACTGCCCATTATCTTAATTAGCTTGCTCATAATACTACACAAGCCCTACCTCTGGACTCTAAAGTGGCAAAAACTGCTAAAAAATGTTTAAACAATTTCAGCACTATATCCCTTCCCTGACTTATGTTAAAGGATTGCTAATGTCATTGCTTGGCCTGGGAATGCTTTTGCTGATGGTTTTTCTATGCTTTCCTTGTATTATACATGCACTGCAAAATTCTCTTACGAGTTTAGCCAGCCAGCTACATAAGATCAAGCTCCATATAAATGAATTCCCCCCGAGAGGGACTGTAGCCAGAGATGGGTAAGAGGGGGTGCCAGTCTGACCAACCTAAGACAGGGCCTTCAGCTTCGCTCTGAAGAAGTTCCTGATGACGGGTAAGGCAGACAAGGTGATCCACGCAAACTAAGACAGGCGGGTTTGCTTCTTTAAACAAAGATGGGGAAGATGTTGGGAGCTGACAGTAAAAGCTCTAAGTTCATCTTGACCCCTGTGCTCGCTTGCAGGCACATAAGAGGAGCTGGCTTACTTAAAAAACACCAGGTGCCCAAGATTGCTTTGCTATGTCTGCAGAGTTTGTTTTACTTTCTACCAGTTGACCTTGTCTTGTTTTACTGCACTCTGTTTTTACTGAAATTTTCCTTGTTTTTCTGGACTATTGTAACCTTATGTTACCTCTTGACTTCTAATAGTATATATTAGGGAAAGTTAAAAATAAACAGGGCTGCAGTCTTAAGCTGCAGACCTCCCAACCCCATTGTTTGTCTTATGTCTTTATTTTTCTGTCCTCGCCCCCAATTCAGGATTCCCTTTCGTTGCCGGCAGGCTCTGGCAGATGAGGGATCAATGGAAATGTTTCCCACATCATCTCAGATTGATTTTATCTTACTTTAGACTGAACAGGTAGAGAATAAGTTAATTTTCTTGCTGGATGTTCCAAACTATTTGATTTCTTCTTATGAACAGAAATCTACTTTCTTGTCCTTATTTGGTCTTCTATATTCACATGCCAACTCTGTAGGTCTCCAATTTTATTTCAGAGGCAAGAAAAAGTACCCCTTAGCAAATGGGAATAATGAAAGAATTTTAATATAAAAATATTGTTTAAAAAGCAACAGAAACAACCAATATTAGGGGGGCCTACACAACTGCAGAGGATAGCCTAGTGGAGGTTGGAGCTACCTTGTGAACAAGCTCTGAGAGTTTGAACATGCCGTAAATTCAGTGGTGGCCCCAAATTGTGGTCCTGGGAGTGCTGGATCCATCATGATGGGAGGAGAAGATGGCCTTCATATCACTGCTCACTGAACAAACTTGGTTCACCACTTGGATTTATATAGAAAATGCAGCATCTAATGTTAAGGTGATTAGGTGGTGAAGAAATTTAAAAGAAAAACATAGAAGGAAGTGAAGATGCTTGACATATGGAAAGACACAAGGGAGGCCAGGGTCCCTGTTGTCTAGTATTAGTAGGCTTCCCCATGAGAAAGGCATTGATTTTGGTGATAGAATGAATGGATAGAATGAAAACTGATAGAAGAAAGAGGTTGGTTGGAATAAGGAAAAAAGGAACACTATTGCCCATATTTATTAAGGCATGTACAAACATTTTATTTAATTCTTCTAAAAATCATAGCATTAGTTGCTACGATTCTGATTTTACAGATAAGGAGTGCGAGACTCAACTGAGCTCAGTAACTTTGCTAAGATCATGTAGTGAGTAAGTACTAGGATTGGGGCTCAAACTCCTCTGGTACGTGCTAGTTCGCTCTCCAACTGTGTGTGACCCAACCAAGGGCTGGGCAAAGCCTGTCCTCCTTTCACCACATGGTGAGGCCTATGTGCTGCAGGATCTGCTCAGGATTTGCCACCACTCCTGTTTGACAGCTGACAGGGCAGGTGATCTGGAGAAGTAGGAAATAAGCATTTTACTATTGTAGGTTTCATGCTAGACTAACAGACTGTAAATCTTCCATCATCCTAAAAGCTCATTTTTGGATTTCCTGTTGACAATACTTCCTGATCCAGAAGTGAGAATCTGATGTTGATAAACTAGCTTAATCACAAACCACAAAACCATCTAGTGCCTACTCTTTCATTGCACAGCCTCACCTCTATGAGAAATTGTGCCAAAGATCTTGTGGGTGTCAGTGGCATCTTCAAGAGTGAGGTAGAGACATCAGGGGGCAAAAGAGAGATGATGTAGCTTAGACACAGACTGACGTGAGTTTAAATTCTGATTCTATCATCTATCTGTTCTATACCTTCAAAAAGCCCAACAACTTTTCTGGATTCTTTCTTTTCATCAGCAAAATATGATAATGCACATTGAACCCGTGTCCTTCCAACTCATTAACTCTGTGTCTTCCAACCCTGAACTCTATGGACTTGTTCCAGGTTTACCTGGTTTCAGCAAGGTCTCCCATATTAGAGTAGTATTTTTCTTCTCTTCCATTTTCAGCCTGATATCTGAGTCCAGCTCTCTAACAGAGATCTCAGAGAAGAGCTGGGATACTCCAGGGCTCCGATAGCACAGCTCCAGTTCCTGAAAAGTGAGAGAATCACCATGTGAGAAGCAAGTACTCATCCTACCAGGTTCTTTCTCCTTTGCCACCTTCTTGGTGCTGATCAACCTCACAAGCACTGCAGTCAGGAGCCATCTTCAGACCACATGTTCTGAATCAGAAGGATGAGGACACAGCTGGGCACCACATTGTCCAATCAGGGATCATGTTGAATCATATGCTCACATATCCTAAGGCAGAACCTTCTCTACCATGTTGCAGGAGCCCGATTCTTCCAACTTCCCACTGAATCCATGTTGTCTTGTCTCCACCTCATACCCTCACTCCTAATGTATCCTACCCTCAATTAGTTTACAATAAACCAGAAATTTACATTCATTATCTTTCATAAGTTACAGTAAAAGCAAATCTCTTGCTTTCCAACAACTCCAAAAGATACCCCTTACCAGTTTCCTCAAACTCAATAATAGCACAGGCATCTCCTTTGCATTCAACTTTCAAGTCTTAGCATCATCCTTGATATCTTCCTTTTTCTTGTAATAGCAGTTAATTTGCCCTGTGCTATTGCCTCTACCTCCATAATAAGTTTAGACATGTGTTACAAAGCCTCATCATGCTTTAGGGTTTGGGTAATTCCTTGTGTTGCAATTCCCCTAAATCTACCAACTTTCCTGCTTGTTTTTGCTGTCCAGGCAACCCACCATCAGTTTTCATCTGTGATATCACAATGGTGTTTTGAACTTTCCTCTACTTCTACAACTGTCTATTCATCAACCAGACTCCAGACACTCAAGGCATCTTTGTTTTCCTTGAACTGGATTTTGTTATGTTGCTAAGGCTGGCCTCAGCCACCAAGTGTTGTGATTATAAACATGTAGCACCATGCTTGTCTAACTTGGTGCATCATTAAGAAAGTACTGTGTTTGAATTTGGTACCCTGGGTATTGTACATATGTTCAGCTGAACTAGGGAAGAGAAGGGAAACAGAAAAATTGTGAGAAAAAGGATAAAGGGGAAAAGTATTACTCACAAGACAATACATTGGAAAGGATCTGTATAACTTGTGGGGGGTGGGGAGAAGGAAAAGAGGGAGAAAATGAGGGGTTAACATTAGGCAAAATATGTAATCACTCTCTTACTTATGAAACTGTAACCCCTTTGTACATCACCTTGGCAATAATGTTTTTTAAATAAAGAAAGTCTTGTTTGATCATGTTTACTACCTTGTTAAGGACTTAACATTGCATTTAGTACAAAATACAAATTGCACACAAGTACCAATGAGCCCCGTGAGCTCTTCTTTGAACTCCATCTTTGATGCATGTACTACTCTCTTCCACACTAACACATTTCTTTATTACTGATAAGTTCAAACTTGCTCTGCTACTTGTGCTTTTGAATACATCTTTTCATTCTGAGAGGCTCTACTATAAATCACCTAGTAGACAAGTAAGGTTTTTTTAAATCATTTTAGTCTCAATTCAAGTGATATCTCAGAGGTGCATTCCCTTACCACCCTGACTATGTTACTCAATTCACTGCCTCCATGTTCTACTTCAAATCATTAGGTGTTACTGTGCTTCATCAGAAAACATAACATATAGATACATGAACTCATATCCCTCAGAGGCTGCAGCCTTTGAAGTAGACAGCTTCTGCCTGATATGTTCGGTAAGATTGATTTTCTGATACTTCAACATCCTTCCTTATCTTTTATTCTACTCCTGACCCTTGCCTTTCATTTATCTTTTTGCAGTTTCTGTGGTTTATTTAAGCACAAATAAAGGTGTATGTGAGCTATCTATTAATTTTCTTCACTGAGCAGCCTGGCATTGGGATTGGTGGTTCTGATGGCCAGTTGGGCTGCTCTTTCCATGATGGCTTTTTGGTTCTTGGGCAATCTCATTGCACTAAGACTCATTGCACATGAGCAGCCCTTCAAGATCCTTGAAGTTGTGGACCAGGAACTTCCGGTATCCACTGGGAAGCATGTGCTTTGTTTTCTTGTTGCTCCCATAACCAATATTGGGCATCAAGATGTGGCCCTTGAATCTCCTCCGCAACCTGTTGTCAATGCCGCTGGGTTTCTACCAGTTACGCTTAATCTTGACTGATGATGGATGAACTTCTTGGACCTCTTTGGGATGATCTTGAGCTTCACCTGAGGGCTGAGGGTGGCCATGATGTCTCCAGCAGGAGGAGAAGGCAACCACCTCCATGCACAGCACCGAGGAAGAGGCTTTTTATATATCTTTTTCACTCTTAAAAATGTGTATATGGGCAGGGCACAAGTGGCTCACACCTTTAATAGTAGCAATTCAGTAGGCTGAGATCTGAGGATCATGGTTTGAAGGAAGCCTGGGCAGAAAAGTATATGAGAGCCTTATCTCCAATTAACCACCAAAAAATTGAAAGTGGAGCAGTGCTTTGAGCAAAAATTGCTTAGGGATAGCACACAGACCCTGATTTCAAGCCCCAGGATCAGCACCATCATAAAACAACAACAAAAAATAAAACAAAACATAAAAACAAGTAGTATGCTTCTTTTTGTGATTTCAAGAAGAACAAAATTCTCTTGTCATTATTCCCAGACTATAGCTGCTGCTCTGAAGCTAGCTGACCATCAGGTCTGTCATCCTCCATCTTACCCTAAAGAAAAACTCTAACAGCTATTCTTGGGAAGATTTCCACTAGAGTCAATACTTGCTGTACTTACATTTGTTGCAAATGGGATAGTTTATGACTGGTATGAAAAAATTGATCATGGCATTGTTTTCTTTAATGGTCCCAGTTTATTTGGGATATGTTTTTATTGATAGAGTTTTATGATCTGAGTTCTTGGTTTCAAGACTTCTTGTGAATTACAAGACTAACAGCCCTGTTGGTTGCCCATTGCCTGTGATATAGTTGTGTGAAGCATCCTGTCTCCAGTCTCAGATGCTGCTGCTCAGCTTCTGTCATGTCCCACTTATCTGGCCCTGGTTCATCTATACACTGTGCCATGATGCTTCTCTGATTCTGAGCAGCAAACCCAGACAGGGCTGAAAATGGAGAAATCTTAGATTCAAGCCTAGTGGTCCACTCTACTCAGCCTTTGGTCAAAGAGTGTGTGTGAGAGAGAGATGGAAAAGAATAAGAAAAAGGCATTCATTTGAGCCAAACACTTTCATGTCAATTTCAGTAAGGCTGATCTGAGCCCCCTACTCAACCTGTCCTGAAGGATGGTCATAGGACATCCACTCTACAGGCATAGGAAACAGGCATAAGATACAGACATCACACCCTCAAATCACCTCAAATCGCACTGTATGTAGTGACTGTGGCCAAATTTGCAACTTTCTGTTTGTGTCTTTCTAATCTTCTTAGAGGTAAAAATTGTTGAGATTTTCTAATATAGACTTGTCCTACTTTCTGAAAATGCACAACCTAGAGTTCAGCTCTTTCCTTAGACTTAAACTCACCCAACAAAAGACAAAATCCTACAATTCCTACTTTTTTAAACATTGTTTAACTGAGAAGCCACAATTCCCTATGCATGTTTCCTCTTCTGTAACAAATTATATACCAGGTGGATTCAACTACAGGTGTGCTCACGGTGCATTCTGATTGGAAGGCATTACCAACTGCTAGCCCAGACACTGCCAGTGCCCCCAAGCAAATTCTTCTTCCAAATCTTGAAGGTGATTAATTTTCCTGTGAACCATTTTCCTTCTATTTTTGTAGCATTCAACTCAACACCCTCTTTACTTTTTGTCCTACCTTACTTCCTCCCAACAGGCCCTGGGAAGGACTGAAATTTTCGTACAACTTTTTCCAGGCACACCATGATCCTAGCAAGGGACAGATGCCTGGCTGCTCACCTGGGGGATGATATCCATCTTCCCAGATCCAGATACAACATAGCGAGAACCCAGGTACAGGGCATCCAGTGGGGGTGGCTTGTGTATTCTTACAAATTGAAACTTTTCTTCTTCATCATCTATGGCCTAAGAAATGTACAGAATAATGATTTAGGGAGATTTCTGCCCCACAGCTTCTAGTTTGAAGGAGGAGAGAGAGAGCAAGCACATCAGTGCATTAGTACATTCATGTGGGTAAAGAATGGCTATCACATCTCTGTACCCTCATTCCCCTTCTTCCATAATTTGACAGTTGGTGAGACCACCCTTGGCCTCTGCCATGTTAGATGGGGATAGAGTCACTGACAGAAGGAGGAAAAGGATGGAAAAGCTACAATCTGGGGCATGGAGCTTTCTTGTTCATTTTGCTCCTGGAAAGATGCCACAAACAGTAACCAAGAGATCAATGATGGGGCAGGGAACACAGCTGGGAAAACCTTTGTGTGAGAGACGTAGACCATGGCTAAACAAAGAACAGGACAGGTCACCCTTGTGCAGGTTCCTGGTTGGGAGAATCCCATCCTCCTTCCCAGGTGAGAGCTGCAGGTTTCTGCTGTGTTTCCTGTTTCCTGTGCGCCCACCCTGTCCCGCTCCTCCTGGTTGTCAGTGTCACCTTCTGAATGCTGCAGTCACAGGGGACCAGGTAGAGGTGCAAGGTGACTTCATCAGGACTCAGGTAGTAGTACAGCAATGTGGTGCAGATGATGGGGATGAAGTGCCGGGCGCCAGGAATCATCCTCAGTAGAACTCCTATTGGTGAGAAGCTGGGGTTCTCCAGCACTGCACATCGTGGCTCCACCCTGGCTGGCTTCTCCAGCAGCATCCCCTCCTCTTTAAAGTGGGCCACGTTGAACTGAGAGATGTCCACATGCTCACCTGTCAGAAAACAGATTTGAGAGTTGTGCACTTCAGGTCCCATCAGGCTTGGCAGGGACAGTAGGATCCGAGGGTTTAGGATCAGAGATCTTCCCTGGGACCCAGTGTATAGTCTGAATGACTGAGTCCTAAAATTTCCATGTGGAAATCCCAACCCTTCACCCCCCACCACCATTATGCTGGGGTAAGGCAAGAGCTTTGAGGGGTGATCAGGACATGGAGATGTTAGTGAATGGTATGCATGGCCATATGAAATAGTTCCTAGGAAATTCCCTGTGAAGGTGCAGCTGGTTGACAGCACCTGTCCTTAAGAGAATGCTTACCAGATACCGATTCTACAGAAATCACCATCTTGGATCTCAGCCTTCAACAATTTGATAAATCCATATGGTATTAATAGTGTTATCTAGGGGCTGGAAATAGGGCTTAGTGATAGAGTGCTTGCCTAGTATGCATGAATGAAGCCTTTTATTGGATTCCTCAGTATCACATAAACAGAAAAAGCCAGAAGTGGTTCTGTGTCTCAAATGGTAGAGTGCTAGCTTTGAGAACAGAGAGGCTCAGGAACAGTGCACAGCCCCAGGACTGGCAAAAATACAGTGTAACCTAGGATATGCTATTTTCTTATAGCAGCCTATAGAGACTATGGTAGGGAAGGAAGAATGGCCTCAGATGCTGTGGACCATCTGGTCTCTGGAGTGGGACTTTCACAGACACCTTAGGCCTTGAGTCAAACTCATAGATAAGACAGTCCCAGGCCCTGGACAGTTGCAAACAAGTTTGCATGTGTGATAAACAATAGCAATATTTGATCATTCGTGGACTTTTTGGCCTCAATTAGCCCTTGCACAGATTGGCTGATTTTTCCTGGAAAATAAGCTGCATATACCATATTTCTGGGATAGGCAAACACCTAGATATGCATTTAAATTCCAATGATCCCTGGATTTGATGTTATAATACAGAAATAATGTGATAAATATTTTAATGATAGAAGGCTCTTGTTCTCTAAACAGCACCTACACATTTGCTTTAAGGTGTTTCTTCATAAAAAGCTCTTTGAGAACAGAAACTCTGTGTGAAGCACTTTGTCAATTACTCTTTTTAAAATTCATCACCTGCTAGAAATCGATGCTGTTGCTTTATGTGGTCAATGAGCATTAGCTTCACTCGTATGTGACTCAGGGTCTTTGCTTATTATTCTACCTTGCACTTCAGAGTTCATGTTCCATTTTTCTCTAGGTACATATTTAAGACTTTTGTTCAGGAAGTATTTGTTTTTGGTAATCTCTCTGCTTTTAATTTCTTGTAAAGATCTTTTTAAACTCAAAATAACTATATTTTTGCAATTCACAGTTATTGATGAACAGTTATTTCTCAGGACCATGAAGACATCTTTCCACTGTCCTCTGCCTTCCACTGTTGCTGCTCAGGAGTCAGTCAGCATACCTCTCTAGGTAAGCTTTCCTTCTGTAGGCAGTAACCTTTGCTAAAGACTTGGGATTGACTTCACAAATAAAATAAAATTTAAAAAAAAAAGACTTGGGATTGACAAGTTTTGCTATAATGTTGATTTGTTTCTGTCCCTTTGTTTTTTCTTTTCTTCTTTGCACTTTTTTAAGTTCTCACCCTGAGAAGTCTTACATTTCACAGTAATATCACAGTAATTCTCCTGGTAATTTTCTCTTTTATTATTGCATCATTTCTATTCTCTCAAGCATACTGTTCTGGAATTCCAGTTATTTCTACAGTAGTTTTCATCATGGTATCCTCCAAAGTATGTAATATTTAAAAATAATTTCTGTCAATCTCATCTGTTCCAATGTTATCATTTGTACCATTTCTTGCTTCAGTTCATATTTTACCACTTCTTAAGTGTATTTTGGACTGACAATTTCAGAGACTGAAGTTTTAATGGGCTGGTTTGTATGACACAGCTTTCTGCTGGCTTTCATTTCTGGTATACTGGGGTTTTTTGTGATATATATTTTTTTCCCAGACATTGTCTTGATATGTATCTCAGGCTGGAACTTGTGATCTTTCTGCTTGAGCCTCTTGCATGCTGGCATGCTGGTTGTGAGCCATTGCACCCAACTTTCTCTGTGAGGATTGGAATTGTGAACTATTTTGACCATTGTCCTTTCTGAGCCATTTTTGTGTGACTCCAGATCTCAAGTGTAATCAGGAAACATTATGTCTTCTCCCTGCCTGACAGGTGGTGATACTTTCTCATTGATGATTGACTCTGGGTACTAAATATTTGTAATAAGTTCCTTTGCCTTTATTTTTTACACAGATATGTATTAGAAAATCTTTTTAAATGGAGGAACTGAGAGTATCCTATGTTTCCTGATGGGACTGAATAAATTTCAACTAATTATTGCTGAGGACTTGGCTTTATATTTGGGAAACTACAAGGTAAGGCTAGGCAGAAATAACTGCATGGCTTGGAGATATATGCTTCCAATTATGTTTAGGGAGGTGGGGGATGAGGAATGGTCTCCATCTCCACTTCCATACCCTCTCCACCTTGCTAGCAAATTCAGGGTTGCTCATCCTCTTTCCTCACACTCTATACTATGCTATATAACATTTCTGGGCCCTTCTCCTACCAATATCCTCCTATATTTCCATTCTTTACCTTGGAGGTTCACAAAGTGAGGGAGGTGCACAGCAGCTACAGTTCCTTGCTCAGCCCTGATGCCAAACAGAGGCCCTGCTATCATCCAGGTGTGCTGCAGCCAAGTCTTGTCCAGGCAAGTGTCCCAGGAACAGAATTCAATGGTGATGGTCACTGCCCTGCTCACCACAAAGCCCAGACCCATGTTGGGACAGTGGTAGAAGCCGGCCACAGGGAAGTGAACACTGTAAAGAGGGAGAGGCAGACATCAAATTACACAAATCCACCAAGCCCCTTCTGGATGCCAAACACAGTAAAGCAGCTGTGGGTAGTCCAGAATACCTAACCCTATTCCACCCAAGGTCACAGGTTTAGTCCTGGCTCCTCTGCTCTCTGAGGAAGTCATTTAGCTTCCCTGATCTCAGTTTCCTCATCTATAAGTGGTAGTCACCATACCTTACAGAGCTGGGAGTTATGAGTAATGTAATGTAAATCAATAGATCTTCACATGCATGGGAGCAGCTTGTCAATGCTATTATGTTTGCCATGACAAAATAGGAAAATGTTCTTATTTTTTAAAGCGGATACTTATGTTTTGAAGAGGAATTTTACGAATAGTGACTAAACCTACATGCTATTGCTCATGAGCAGGCTTTGTAGCTGAACACAGATCAAAATGGTTTTTCCCAAGGATCCCCATTTCGTGTGTAGTTGGGTGGTCAGAGGATAGCTTCCGAAGTCCAGGTGGAGTGCCTTGTTCTTCCCTGCTGAGGCAGTGCCTGTGGCAGTGAATGACGAGTGACAGCCTGTTGGATTGAGCTCATGGTTCTGGCTAAATTGTTCATTATGAGACTGGGAGACCTTGGAGGACAGGGTTGCCATGTTCCTCATGACTTCACAGATATTCTTAATAAAAGGGTGCTTTGCAACTAGTGCTTATGAATAAAGCAGGAACATACATATTATAGGATACTGAAATGAGATTGAGGAGAAAAACCAATCAAATAAGATAAGCAGTCCTTATCAGAAGCTGATTAGAAGAAATATCAGCAAGAATACACCTCCCACAAAGGAGAAAATGTGAACCAGACTGGATTTAGATAACAAGAAAGACCTAATGCCAGTTTTTTAGGAGGCGAAAATTATGTTGGATTAGGAAAAAATGGTCCTTATTTGTGTTAGTTGAGGTGTATAAGGCCCTAGTTAAAGCTTAAAAATTATCTAATATATGGATTTAAAATACAGTAATAGTAACAGAAGAGGAAGAAAGTGATTGAAAGTCATTTGGAAAATGAACAAGGATATTCCTAACATGTTCAGCTTTTGTGTGTGCTTGAAAATTTTATAATAAGCCTATTTTTCCCACGATCAAAGTACACATTAAAAGCATGCTGTCTGAAACTGGGAGTCAGGAGACTGTGGGGAAATTTCAGCTTGCGGTAGCAGAGCCCCTCACTCACCAGCACAGGTGCCTTTCGCTGTCAATCAGCTCAGTATTCACACGCCCTATGGGACCCAAGAAGACATCTTCTGTTGCTAGACAATCCCCGGGCAGGATGGTTGATGAGGGAGCAGACAGATGCAAGAGTCCCAGCTTTGATGCTAGTCCGGCATCTTCCTCTGGAAGAGCAGGACACTTTATTTCTAGACTGTCCAATGAGGTCTTCCCAGGAATTCATAGCTGGCCTATGCTGGGCTTTTCTCAAGCCTAGCTTTCCTAGGTAAATCAGGAGTGTGTTTGTAGCCTCTGTCCCTGCTGCTGTGATCACTTTCCCACTTTTGACCATACCCATCCCACTATCCCGCTGGCCCACACTCTGCCTACCTCTCCTTCCCACTGGTATAGGCTTGTACTTCCCACCATGTTGCTGTGGGAAGGATGGAAGTGAAACTTGGCTCTACAGGTGGATGGACATGGATAGAGAGAGTTTCTCAGGCCTCAGAAACCCAGAATAGAACATCAGATCCTGGGGCAGGGTCTTACAAAGGATAAAGATGCTGAAGGCAGGTAACACCAGCCCCTGAGGCTGGGAAAGAGGACAGATTTTTCTCTAAGCCCTTAGAACACATGATCTTGCATGAGATGGACTCTTCCAGGTAGGAAATCTTCTCTGGCCCACATGATGGTCAGTTGATGAAGAGGAAACTCTACTACAGTTGCCCCTCCCCAAGCCCCTTAAAATACCTGAGTTTGGTCTCTGCTCCTCTAGTGACCTGGGGCTGTTATCTCCTTCATCTGATCTCTCAGTAGGGGTCAGCTCACTTGTCTTCCTATAACAGAGAGATGTTAAATCTCCCTTAGATGTAGGGGATATTTTTCAAAAAATATCCCAAACACCCTCCATTACTTTAGTTCTGTAGTTTCTTGTTTCCTTCTTACCTCTGTTTATCCACCATCCAATGACTCTACCTCTTGGCTCTAGAGCAGCTGCAAATGCTCAACCCTGGCTATGGGTCAGCCAGGCCCAACACTTACCACAGTGTTGAGATGAGCAGCTCAAGTCTCTTTTCCTCTAGGGCCTTCAGTTCCGCCTTCACTGTGTCACTCAGAGAGGTCTGGTCTAGCCTGCAAGCACAAGGGAAACTTGGTTCTCTTGGGTTCCACATCACAGGATCTTCAAGCCCTCAGGCCCAGGATTCTAGACTCTGAGACCTGCTGGAGGCATCTGTCTCAGTCAGGTCCCTGGGAATCAGGCTGACTAGGGAGTGCTGTTAGGCTAATACCAGGTCAGAGGAAGGAAGGGCAGCAGAACTGCGCAGAAGGAGGCACTAGCTTCAAGGTGGACTCAGGGTAGGCACTGGTCAGCTCACAGGCAGTTCTGAACCCAGGATGACCCTTTGGACCTGTCCTGAGTTGGGAGGAGGGACTGAGCTTTTATGATCTATAGGGCTCAGGCTTCTAACAGGTCATCCAAGGAAAGAGACAGGACCATGGATGAGGTTTTTCATGTTGGTAGAATGTGAGACTGAGCAAGCAGCATTCCCAGTGCTGGGAGGCATTTCTTAGTTGCTCAAGAGACTTTGGGTAGAACGTTAGAACATGTAGAACAACTGTGCAGAGTAGGGATCTGAGTTTTCTCCTCAGAACCTAGAAGATCCATTGAGAGGAGAGTCCTGGTTTCCACCTTACAGACTTCAGGAACTGTAGTTTCCATCGGATCTGGGATGGTTACAACCCTATTCAGGCCTGTCCATCCCCATCCCTGAGTGAGGACAGGTCATTCTTGCTTAGTTGCTGTGAGGCAGGACAAAGCATCTAAGAAACCTGCACCATGATCGTCATTGCTCTGTCATGGCAGTGCTCCCATGGGAAGGTAATGGAATCCTGAGAGTGTAAGTTTGCCTCTGTCCACAAGTCCCTCGGTTTTATGAGGACAGAAAGGAGGTAGAACCTTCTACAAGATTTATAAGAAGCTAGCTTTCCTCAGAGGTAGCAAAAGTATCACAACTTAGTATTGAGTTATGACCTGAATACAGATCTCCTGGCAGAGACAGGTCTGGAGAGGAGAGGGGATGCAGCAGAAGGTGATGGTTCTGAGGGCTTGGTAAGATGCAGGCTGGGGAGTAAAGTTCACCTGCTTGTTAAGGTCAGTTTCAGCTGCAGGAGAACCAGCGAGCAGGCACCTTTTATTTTTTATGCCATAATTCTGTTCTGATTACTCTTTGAAGATGTAGAACTGGTCGAGGGAAGCCACTGGGCATGGAATTCTTGGGCCCTCTCAGCTCAGGAAAGGACGGGATTCTGAAAATGAAAACTCTGAGCACATGACAGGCCTGTTCAGGAGCTACTGGAAGCCTCAGTAAGTAGCTGTCTGTCAGCTTTGGTAAGAAAGACAATGGAAGAAACAGTTGAGAGACAGTATGGGGAAGGGGGTCTTGTTGAAACACAGGCATAAGGAAGATGGAGATTATTCTGGCTTGTATGAACCCCAAGGCTTTTGGCCAGCTCAGTGTCAGCTGCACATGGCATTGTCCAGCCTCTGGTGCTTAAGCTCCCCTTTTATTCTTCAGGCCTGAACCCATTGGAGATCCAATGATGTAATTCCAACCTGTGCCAACGTTTAACTTTACAGTACCTGTATTTTGCTTCACAGTGCTCTAAACAGCTCATAAATATGTATTTTTGTGCTGATGGGTGGTCCACACTTCTCCCCTCCCCAGTGTGTCAGCCACAGGAGGGCAGGGCCCTCCAGTGGGTCTCTAAGGCCTGACATACTGCTTGGCACACAGAACCATACCATGAATGATGACATGAGCAAATGAATGAGTGCAGAGGTGCTGGAGTGAGGAGAACTGGGAGTCTCTAAAATCATACTGCCTCAATGACCTGAGCTCTCTATCATATCTGACTCTGCACTAAAATAACATTTTATCTCATTGTATTCCATGAGGTGGAAGTGATACTCACATAACGTAGAGGTGGAAACTGAATCTCACAGAAGACAGTGAATTGCTCAAATCACATGGTGTGAGAGTAAGTGGCCTAGCAAGCAAGGACTGGCCTGACTGAGCATTTATTGTCCCTTTTCTTCACCTGTAAGGCTGCCAAGAACCTCCCCTCTGCCCTTCTTCTGCACCCAGACTAGAAGGGACCCCCATGGCCTTACCGTAGGAATGTGAGTTGGCAGGCAGGATGCTTGAAACCCTCGCAGAGCAGCTTCACACCAAGGTCACCCAGGTCATTCTTTCGCAGGTCGAGTTCCCTCAGCCTGCAGCTGTTGCTAAGCACAGAGGCCAGGTCCTGGCAGCAGCTGGAGGTGAGGCCACATCTGGCCAGCCTGCAGCAGAGACACACAAGCTCACTGTCCTGAAGCTTCTCTCATCTATGTAAGTGGAGTCTAATTCATGTTCTCTGAAGATCCTGAGGTGTCATTAAAGGAAGAGAAACTTTCCTGGCTGAAGAGACCTGGGAAGTTCTCATATCCTCATTTAGCCAAGTCCTTAGGAAACAGCAACCACCCTTACTTCTGATAAGATTCACAGGAATTTCGTCCACCATCATCTCATCCTTGTGTTAATAATTTACTCAGTGTTTTAGCTATATATGTGGGTTTAATTGTTAACTACGCTGGCTCTGCCAAGTACCTATAGGCAGTGAACAATGGCTCCATAGATATGTGTGGAAGTTAAGGATATCTCATATTCAGGAAAAATAAATCCGTGAGATTCTAATATAATAACTAATGTTGAGAGGAATACTAAAGGTTTAGTGGAACTGAGGATCAATCCTGGCTCCCCAGCACATGTGGAGGTTTAGAGTCAGTACTGTCACAAGCCAGAGCCATGTCTGAACTGGGAGTGCTGGGCTGGCAGTGCCAGGCTCTCTGGTCTTCCTTCCTGATCTGGGTAAATAACTCAAGTCTCTCACAGTGCAGCTGCAGAACCAGTGGAATCAAGGTGGGTGGCCCTAGCCTGCTTCTGGATCCAGAGGGCTGAATAGCTGGAGCATCATCGATCTGGAGAGCGCCATACCCATGATGTCCAGGGAACCTAAGTCTTCCCTGCTTATAGGTCAAGAGTTACAAGAGGGAATGAACTTGCAGGATCTAGGCTAAGATAAAACACTGGGCAAGTAGAAACTAGGCTTAGAGGTTAGATGTAGCTTCAAGTTCTATTGATGCTGATACCTGGAATGTATCTTTCATGACTCAATTTCATAGCTGTAAATGTAGTAAGGTTTCAATATTATAGATGTGATAGAATTCCCACTCTTAGGGCTGGGAAGGTGGCTCAGTGGTAGAGCGCTTGCCTTGCATGCCTGAGACCCTGGGTTCGATTCCTCAGCACCACATAAGCAAAAAGAAAAAAGCCGCAAGTGGCGCTGTGGCTCAAGTGGTAGAGCACTAGTCTTGACTTGAAGAGCTGAGGGACAGCGCCCAGGCCCAGAGTTCAGGCCCAACGACCAGACCCCCCCCAAAAAAAAGAATTCCCACTCTTCCTGGGATTGCTGAACCCCTGATATTAGGAGATCTCAGCTTGCTCTCATGCCCTTCTTCTCATCCCACCCACCTCTTGTTCAGGAAGATTGATGGGAAGCCAGCAATGGCTATGTGAAGATGAACATGTGGTATAGGGATAAAGGAGAGAAATGCAGGTAGAACCAGGGATATGAATATCTGATCTTAGAAGCCAAAAGTGACCTCCATGAAAACTGAAAGAGTGCGTGCACGCATGTGTGTGTCTGTGAATAATTGTGTGCAGTAGGGACAATAACTTTTTGAGTTTTTTGAAGAAATGTGCTACACTTTTTTAGTACTGTGTCCAGACAATGATGCAGCAGGCACTGAGAGACACAAGTTTTATTCTGGCACAGTGGGAAGTGTAGAATATGGTGAGTTTCGGGGATGTATCATTGGATCAAGAGTTGCAGATGGAGACCTGACAGGCAGCTGTAGAAGGTGCAGGAAGGAGGCAGGGAGCTCACGTTGGAGACAGGTTATGCTTCTTTCGGTTGGATACCAAAGATGTCTCCCACTTTATCGTCCCCTTCTCTCCTTCATCAAATAATAACTGCCTGCCCATTAGCCCCACTTGTTTACTTTTTGGTCCCTCTGAACTTCCTCACATATCTGAAATTCCAAGGTGAGCTGTATGGAAGGTGTGTCCAGCACTTGGCATTTGAGAGCACTTGTCCACAGACAATTTATATTTCGTCACTGTTCCTAGTGTTGAAATATCAACGGTACCCCCAGAAAGTCAGCATCCAGGCAGCATCTGTTAGCATACCTCATTAATTACTATTTTTATCAAACTCCGGAAAGATTGTTCTTTAGATGGTCATAGGGCTTGAACCCAGGGCCTGTCCACTGTCCCTCAGCTTTTTTGCTCACCACTTAGAAACACAGTACCACATCTGGTTTTGTGGTGGTTAATTGGAGATTGGTGTCTCATGGACTTTCCTGACCTGACTGACTTTGAACCATGATCCTCAGGTCTCAGTCTCCTGAGCAGCTAGGATCATAGGTGTGAGCCACTTGTGCCTGGCTTCTAAAGAACTTTGTTCACCATAATAACTCTGGCAACTCTCCATGTCTTGGTCAGAGAGGGATCCATGAATATTTGAGGGCTACAAAAACCAAGCCAAGTTCTGTTCTTGGCTTTTACCTTTGACCTCTTGCCCATCTCCCTTTCGGGGAGAGCCCAACCCAGCTCTGACTCACCTCAAGATCTCCAGATGGCACTGGGGGTGTCTTAGGGTCTCACACAGACTCTGCACTGCAGAACAACTCAGTGGATTGCCACTTAAGTCCAATTCCTTCAGGCTTCCACTGACCTTGAGAGTGGAGAAGAGAACCTTCCACGAGGTATCAGTGAGTGGGGCCCACATGGACCTGAGGCAGAGAGAGGACCAGGAGAGGTGTATCATGGGTAGGCCGGGTCTGAGCTGCGCAGCATTGTACAACAGTGCAGGTTTGTTCCCTGAGTGCCAGGCCTCCATGGACAGTGCCATTATCAGGACTGACCATCCTACATAACTGCCCTTTGTCCCCAACACCTGACCTTTCTGCAATGTGGCTGTTCATTCTCTCTCTTAACTTGTGCTTCAAGCTACATAATGATACTCTTGTTTCTTTTCAGATATCTCCACTTCAGTAGCCCAGTAACTCTTGACCCAGTAGGTTCCAATAGGTCTCTAACCATTCAGCTTTCTCTCAAGCCTGAAATGCTGCATACTAGGCTTGGTTCTGTGACTGTTTATTCATCTATAAAACCAAGGTACTAATAGTACCTGCTGTGAAGAGGGTTTATGAGGATTATGAAGTCTTTCTGAGTCCCCCAAAGATGTACATTCTGTTGAACCTTTTAACAGCTTCAGAAATATAAACAGTGCATATTCTTCAAAAACATTACAATTGTCTAATCGTGACTGTAGCAAAAGTTAAAAACTATATTATTCCAATTTAACAACATGAATTTAATGTGAAAGATACCAATGAATAAAATTTGCATGCGATACCTTTTTTTTGATGCTAGTATCGCATTTACATTGTTTGAAAGAAAAATTAAAACTTGATTATCCAAATGCATGAGGTTTAATTATGAACCAAGGAACCCGGAAGCCTCTCCTCCGCCATCCTCACTCCTTCCTATCACAGGCTGCTCCACAGCTGGGGCCAGTCTTCCCCAGGTCTGTGTTCAGCAGCCTCCTTCCCGCCTCCTGCCCTTCCTGGCTGACTTAGGGCCTCTCACTTCTCTCTACTTCAGGAGCAGAAGCTCCAACTTTCCCAAGATCCTCTCCAATCTCCACAAGCCATGGTCCATTCCAAACTCGCTGGCTCTGACCTGGTGTCCCTGGCTCCTTCTGCACTCTCTGGACTCTGTCCTATTCCTGATCAGAGCTCTACTGAAAACCCATGTCAAGCCTCAAAGTCAAATCATGTTATTACCATGAACAATTAGAAACAAACTTACAGGTAGGAGAACAGGGCATTGGTGGGATCAGCCATAAAGCTCCCCCCAAGTGAACAGCACATGGCCTTTGGAATAGAGTTATATCAGCTTTGTCAGTAAAAAGAGGTGTAGCCTTGATATATTAATATCACTAACTAACTAAAGCTGATTACAAGATAAACTATATAGCATGGCTCAATTTCCCTATACAAAGGACATAGAAAAATGAATCCATAGGTATATTTCATTACTGCATGATAAAATTGTGATTTATATTTTCTTTTTCTTTCTTTTTTTGGTCTGAAACAGGGACTTGAATTTAGTATCTTCTGCTTTCACTAACTGGCTAGTGCTCTACCAACTTAGCCGCACCTAAAAACCTGTGATTGACATTTCCTTCTTTGTAATTTTCCTTTATCAAGGAACATGGGTTTGTATCATGTTAAACCTCTTTAAAAAGTCTGAAATTACTAGATTGAAGAGAAGTGGAGAGGGTGGACATCCTTTTCTTGTTCCAAGGAACAAGAAAAGGATGTCCACCCTCTCCACTTCTCTTCCAAGGAACAAGAAAAGGATGTCCACTCTCTCCACTTCTCTTCAATCTAGTATTAGAATGCCTAGCTACAGCAATAAGACAAGATGCAGACATAAAGGGCATCCAAATAGGGAAAGAAGAACTAAAACTCTCCCTCTTTGCAGATGACATGATCTTGTATTTAAAGTATCCCATAGACTCCCCTCCCAAATTACTCAAGCTGATTCAAAACTTTGGCAAAG